AACACAGTACAATAGAATTTTAAAGTGCAGACAGTCACTGGGTTATCTCACTGAAAATGTGTGTTTCAATCAAACAAATAACGTAAAGAATGTGTGGTGTAACGTTCAAATTGTTGTGTTAACACCACACATCACTTATATAAGGTTGATACATTATTTTTGAATATAATATTACATCCTTCTTATAATTTATAATTACAGGTAAATACTAAAAAACTATAGAACACTATAATAATTTTGTGCTGCGGAAATAAATAGGAATAATAAATTATTGCTGTATTGCTGTTTATTCAAAACAACACCATTACAAAATTCTTTAATTTATGACCCTACCAAAAACTAATGCGCCCATGATTGTATAGGTTATCCGAGAGCAACCGGTACCTAACCGTGAACCACCAGTTCACGCAGAAATTGATGGCGCCGATGTACACGGCGGCGTAGAAATCATCGAGGTACAGATGGACGATATCGAGATGGATGTCATCCAGGTGGATCAAGTCCTGATGAACGACGGTAATTTTGAGGTGATTGGAGTTCAAATGAACGACGAAAACGTCGAAATTATTGATGTTCAGATGGACGACTTCGAAGAAGTTTCAGACCAAGTTGAGGTTGTGGCCTCAGACCGCGAGGCGGATCTTGAAATCGACGTTTTACTCCAAGGCGTCGATGAAGAGGTCAGTAAATTTCTCTTCATATTCGTTGTTGCCTCGCTGGGCGATTACGCTAAACTGTATTGAGGTTGTTAATAATATAGTAATCGTTTTATTATAATATTGTTATATTAATATATTTTGTTTTATATTAGTATAAGACTAGTGAAGGGACGTGGCTAGGCAACTTCATCAACACGTTAGGCGCTCGGGATAGGCAACATCACTCTCGTCATTTCCATCCTCAGGAATGATGGTTGAGATGAGTCGCGACCGACACTCAAGAATACCAACACACACAGGACGAATTAATGGGAAACAGTTTATAAGCCACAGGACGGCGAGAGGACGGAACAAGCTGGTTTGACACAATACCAGCACAACTTATGAACTAACTTAATTACTAAGGCAGGCAACGTTGACACTTGTACCTGGATCCGTGATGCTCTGGTCGACCTAGGCGGCCTCTCACACACCACCCGGTGCTGGCGGACTTACGCGTCGTGGCCGGAATGCCCGATGATCACGTCCCATAAGTTGGCACACACAAGGTTGTGCACGAATACAAGTAGGTAGGTAAATAATTGAAGTCAAAAAACTTACACGCTGTGTTTTTGACTGTAGACCGCTGATCGGTACGTTTTTATTAAATATTTAAATGACTCTGTTTGAGCCACCACCAGAATACACAGTACAGTATAATATATTAATTAACAATGACAAATGGCGCTATACTAATAGCAAACAAACAATTATAGTAATGAGCTCAACATTCGACGCATTGCGAACTTGAGCATGTATTATATATAAAAAAATACACAATATAAAATATAAAAAATTTACGTGAATAACAACAAAAAAAACTTGGAATGTGGAATAATAATTGATACTGATGATAGAAATTGGATTGTGTATCGTGCCGGTCGTATTTTTTTTATCATCTCGGGATTCTGATACCGTGGAGTGTTGATGTTATCGTCGTATTGTTTATACGACAATAACCGTATCTACGTTCCGATGATATATGGTTACGTAATTGTAATCCCGCTCACTAACATACCGGCCCCCATTAAGCCCTTGATGGGTTTAATGATCTCGATTCTTGGTTAGGCAGCAAACAAAGTTTATGCACTGGCCGTTTGACTTCACCAGTATGAGTTTTAATCGTTGCTACTCTAATGAATCCATCGCTTCCTTTATGAACGTCTACAACTCTTCCTCTTCGCCAAGCAAGTGGAGTTTCGAAATCCTCTCGGATAAGTACGAGGTCTCCAATTTGTAAATTTTGTTTAGGCTTTTGCCATTTATTACGTACTTGTAAGGATTGCAAATATTCTGTTCGCCACCGTTGCCAGAACTGTTGTACGATCTGCTGAATCTTATGCCATCTTACTTTATAGGTTTTGATTGACGAATAACAGGGCTCTGGAATGGCTGTTAATGGTCTTCCGATAAGAAAATGTCCTGGGGTTAAAGCTTCTAGGTCATTGGGGTCAGTAGAAGCTGCTATCAACGGCCGTGAATTCAAGACAGCTTCAATTTGCGCTAGTAATGTTGTGGCTTCTCTTTGACTGAGTGTTGTTTCTCCCAAACTCCTGCGCAAATGGAATTTCATTGACTTCACTCCCGCTTCCCATAAACCACCCATATGTGGAGCATGAGGTGGAATAAATGACCAACTTATCCCTGAATGAGCTGCATAAGAGCTTAGGTGTTTTTTTAAATCCGTTGATGCCAGGAATTTTTTTAGCTGTGCAGCAGCTCCTACAAAGTTCCGCCCGTTGTCTGAATAGATTTTTAATGGACTACCCCTTCTTGCTATGAAACACTTTAATGTAGCTAAAAACGCATCGGAAGTAAGATCGTCAACCCATTCCATATGAATTGCTTTAGTCGAAAAACAGACGAAAATTGCAATGTAAGACTTGAACACTTGTTTGGAACGTGGAGGACCGTATCGCATGTTGAACGGGCCAGCATAATCCACGCCACATATGTGAAAGGCTGATGACGGAATGACACGTTCAGTTGGCAGTGACCCCATGATTTGTTGACTACCTTGAACCTTCCAGCGATAACATGGATTACAATTAAAAATGATCTTTTGAACTACACGTCGTATCCCAATTATCCAGTAACGCCTTCTAAGGCTGGCAATGAGGTGTTGTAGACCCGCGTGAATTAGCCTACGATGCTCACGTTCCACGATGAGCTGAGATAGCTGTGAGTCAGCCGGTAGAAGTATTGGATGTCGTACGTCATATGGCTCATTAGCGTTTTGCAATCGGCCACCCACTCTGAGTATTCCGTGAGTATCTACAAAAGGACTTAATGAATTTAAGTTGCTATTGTGCGTGCAAAGTGATTGTCTGGCACGTAACTCAGAGATTTCCGCCTTAAACGATGAATTTTGAATTATATTTATCCAGAATTTTGAACTCTTCTCGATTTCTTCGGCTGTTATTTCTCCACTTACTCGCTTGTTCTTAACTGTTACTCCGCGGAACAAATATGCAGTGCTTCGGTACAGTCGTTCTAACTTTGAAAACCTCCCAAGGATATCTATAAAATCAATTGTTTCGTTCACACTAACTTGTAGGACAGTAACCGCCTTGCGTCGTTCTGTAAGTTCAGTTACTTCTTCTCGGATGATTATGGTTGGCCTTCCGACTCTAGTAATGCTAGCCAGTGCGGCCCTGACCACCACTGACTACAATTAATTAATTCCTTGACACTTAGTCCTCGTGATATGTGATCTGCAGGGTTGTCACATCCTTTTACATGTTTCCATGAATAGTTAGTGGTTAATTTTCTTATTTCTTCAATGCGATTCGCAATGAATGTGTTCCAGCTATTTCCTGGCTCATCACTTTGAATCCAACTAATAACTATTGACGAGTCTGACCAAAATGTTACGTTGTCCAGCGAAATAACTTCCTTCAATGCTTGACATATGATAGTCATCAACTTAGCAGCCAATAATGCTGCACACAGCTCTAGACGTGGAATAGTTGTTGCCTTCACCGGGCAAACTCTAGACTTTGCTATGAGCAATTGCACAGTCGCTGCCTGCTTCTTTGTCACACTTCGCAAATATGCACACGCTCCGTAGGCAACTTGGGATGCGTCACAAAATATATGAAGCTCATTCTGAATGCTGTCGCTGACTGTAACTCTCCGAGGAATGTTAATTTGTGTTATGTCTTTAAGCTCCTTCCGATAATTTTCCCAAGCTGTGTGATGTTCAATCGGCAGTGACTCATCCCATGCTAATTTTAGCTTCCACAGTTGTTGGACAAATATTTTTGCCTTCACAATTACAGGGTTCACCAGTCCTAATGGATCAAACAGCCTAGACATTTCTGATACTACTTTGCGTTTTGTACATGATGATCTCGGGATTCTGATACCGTGGAGTGTTGATGTTATCGTCGTATTGTTTATACGACAATAACCGTATCTACGTTCCGATGATATATGGTTACGTAATTGTAATCCCGCTCACTAACATTCGTATTGATGAAAAATAAAATTTATTACAATTCTGTGATCTCAATTGCAGTTTGTACCAATTCCTCCACCTGGTGTTTCGGTCGAACAGCCTAGGGTGCGTCCACCAATGGTAGATCGTCCGGCTGGCGTTCAACAGCAACTTCCAGAACAGCATTGCATTGTCGCTTTGAATGCAATCTGTAGGCATTGCAGTGCCCGTCACTTTGAGTGTGAGCGTACTACCACTGGTCATTTCTCTATATGTTGTAATAACGGTCTAATGACCATTACAGGACAGCGGGTTTTGCAACCCGCGCCTGTGTTTCTAATGAATTTGTTGACTTTTGATTCTA